AGGAGGAGGGGAGGAGGATGATAATGAGAAAATGAAATATTTGAGACAAAAGAGCCCAAAGGGTGGGAAACAACTCTTAGATTGGTAGGGAGAGAATGCACGAGAAAAGTTAAGAAAAAGTACTTTTGATCATCAGTAAGAAGGAAGATCAGTAAAAGTTATCTCTTGAAATAGTCACTAAATTAGAAGTGATAAGTAGAACAGAAGATGGAAGAGGAACAGAAGGAGGAGGGGGAGGAATAATAGCTAGAATAGAAAAATGAAAAGAAAGTGGTTGACTAGTTTTCTTTTCAATGATATCATATTTTTATATTATTACATTTCTTGATATTTATTTGTATTTCCGAGGGAAAATGGAAAGGCTTTCGGCTATTTGCCGATTTGTAATCTTTTAGTATAACACTCTAAAGGCAATGTGAATGGAAAAAAGTTTGATTAAAAAATACCTTATATAATGTCCATAAAACAATTTGGAAAATAAGGATTCAATACTAATAGCGTGAATAGAAATAAAGTGAATTGAGGCCAACTAGAGTCTTACCCTCTCCAGGAAGAGATAGAAAATTGTACTAAAAACGTATATAGGCTGTTCTTAAAAGAGGAATAATAGGAGAAGTGGTATAAAAAGCTACAGTACAGCCGAGTACAGTAAACTGTTATTGGTTTTACCATAGACAATAAAATTTTCTAAAAATAAGTGGACGGTAAGCTGACTTGTATAAAAATTGAATGATTATTTAGGTTGTTGAAAGTAGTAATTTAAGTCCAACTTCAGTAAATACAAAGTGTCATTTACATATAATTAAGTTAACGTCAATTAAATATAAATTCTCAGAAGTAATTCAACAGATGCATTTTAACTTTAATATCCTTTTTTTATAAGGAAATTTAATATATAAATTCTTTTTAATGATTGAATATGCAAACGCTATTGGAAAAGTGGAAAAATGTTCCCCTTAGGAGAAAACCTCAATCAATTCTTTTGACAAATCAGCAAAAAATGCCTCGTGTTACTTTTTGCCACAAGTAAACCAGTCACTCTTTCTCTTTTTTCTACACAGTGGCAGCAGAGACAGAGAGAGAAAGACGGGGGGCGAAGGGTGAGGGAAGAGAGCAAGAAAGCTTGGACATTTGGATGAATAGAGAGGAAGAGAATGAAAAAGAGAAGGAAGAGGGTTTGAAATAAAGATAAACAGATGGGACATATACTTATATAAACAGCGAGGGAGAGAGAGAAAGAGAGAGAGGGAGAGATAAGAAAACGGAAAAAAGAGATTTTAGAAAGAAGAGTGAATAATACAATATGATGGTTCTATTTGTTAAGAAGAACAGTTGAAGAGAAGAAATAATAGTAATAAGTCTAATCGTTTCTATGTATACTATACACAAATCATATATCCAGTATAGATATTGTCCATAACTAATTTTAACGCTATAGTCAAGTGAGTAAATGGTTTAAGTCGTTTGAGAATAGACGAGTAGGTGTGGGGAGAGGGATAAGAAATAGGAAGATTGAAATAGATATAGACACAGTAGACATACTAGTTGGAAGATGTATAATATAAACTACAAATATTGTATTAGTGACATTGTTTTGATTGGAAGAGATTTGAGAAGAAAACAAAGTCAAAAATTAATAGAAGACTACAAAAACTATATGATATTGAATGTATAGGATTATAAATAGAATGGAAAATTGAGGAAAAGAAAAAAGACCACTCAGTAAGAACAAATATGAGAAGATATAAAAAGGAAAAAAAGACCGAATTATTAGATGTGAAATTCTATAAATAAAACAATAAAGAGGGAAAGATTTATAAAAAAATGAATATGCTAATTTTAGAATTATAGATTGTAACCAATTCTATTTTTAAAAAATACCCACTAGCCTTTCTATTCGTCGTACGATCTGAGATTACATGCTTATTTATTAATTTCAGTGTTGGGTTCGGGTAGTATTGTCTACGAAGCTCTTCGACTAGCAGATTATATGGAGACAACTGTATATTGTCGAAATTTTGTTCATTTTTTTAATATAGTTTCATCAATCTCATTTACTTTGGCTCAAATTTACATGCTACTCGTCTTTTCCAAGGTAACACATTTATTCTCTCTTTTTTTTTATTGAATCCTCAAAGAAATAAAAGAGAAGAGATCGTAATCTTTTCTCTCTTCTTAAAATCGTCTAATTGAAATTTATATGACAATTTTTATTGAAAAAGAAAAAATATATTCAAGATAGATTGTTTACGTGTTCAGAATTCTCTGTCTAATTGCTTCTAGATATCGGAAAGAATATTTTAGAATCGTGTTCTGATCTTCTTATCTTGCCCTCTCTATTTTTCAATTTATCTGTAATAGACATTTTCTTAATTCGACAGATTGTTGTTAACAGAGGAGGATGCGTGGATAAGATTGCTAGATACGCAATTGCATTTATTATAGCAACAAATTTATGCATTTGGTATCACACTCTAATTGTTGAAACTAAAGAAGATATTATCGCCAATAATCGAGCCTCGAATACGGTTAAGAGTCAATCGAGCCCAATTGTGTCAGCCCTGGCAGCAACTAATTATACTTTATCCACTCAAAACTATGATAAAGGAGAGAATTTTACAGGTAAGCTATCGTAGCTCCATCTATGTTTGAAGGATCATTCAGAAGCGTAACTACACTATATACATAGTGATATGTAGGCAATTGATCAGTACTGGTAATATTATCAACAAAAATTAGACTTGTAGGAGGTCTATGAGGGAATGAAAGATGATCAGTGACATTTTAGGAAGAGGATGGGAAAGAAAACTACAAAGATAGAATTATATGTGATACTACTGTAGTCTATAGTTACAGTGAAATTAGTAATACAAAAAAAGTAAATGACAATTTTGGCAGCGAACGAGAAGAGAGAGTAAGAATGAGAGGAAAGAGAGAGAAGGAAGGTAGAGATAAAAAATGGAACAAATAGAAAAAGAGCAACTTTTTATCTACTGTATTTATATAATAAATATTGTATTTAGTCCAAAAAAATGAATGAAAAAAGTGAAAAAATGGCAAAAATATCATAAAAGTCATTTCAACAGATAATTCAACAATCGTTTGCCCGGAAAAGAAAACCTATCAGAAAGTTTTCTCTTCTTATCTGTATCCGTGCACCATCGAATATAGTATAGTATGCGTATTCATTCTGTACGGAATATGGATTCGGATAGGCGGAGAGTCCGGTTCGAGACTTCGTCGTCAATCGAAAATTGATTATCCAACTCCTCCCGATCGTAGGAAACAGTGTGTTCTACATCCTTATTTCGATAATAGATGTGGCTTGACGGGCTCGCTGGTCGTTATCAGCGTCACTTCTATAGTGACAATAGTCTACTTGTATTCAAGTTATCGGGAAGTAAATACTGATTTATCAAATATTCTTGTATTTTCTTTGGACTTGTCTCTGAATATCTTCATTTTGGTTGTAATACCAATAGTTAGTTTTCAAATGAGACATATGAAATTAAAGAATGACGATATGAGAAAATTACGGGCTCTTAGAGAATCTCGACCGTTCCTGCCCAAGAAACGCCATCATAGGACATTAGATAAAAGTGTTCTTATCATCACTTTTTTCGGATTATTAATATTTGGCACTCTGACGATGATAGCTTCAGGCAATTGGACGAATGAATACGTCTATTTAAATCTAATAGATAATAAATATATACTATATATATATAGTGCATTATGTACATTGTACTCAGCACATTATATCCATTTACAACGTACTATCCTATTTATATTAGAAAATTGGTTAATTATTGTATTATTTATTGTAAATTTTAGAAAATTCGTTATCTTTTTTTATTGACATCATTCTATATAATTAACAGAAAGGTTCGTTCATTTTTCTCTAAAACATCCAAATTTCATCCAAGATAAGAACAGGGGTTAACAAAACTAACAATTTGCTCAAAGGAGCAGTGAGGGGGAGGTGTAGAAAGAAGAGGTGGAGTAGGATAATTAAAATGTCATTCTATGCGGGAAGATCTGTTTGTATTCATTCGTTCATTTGAAATTACACGAAAATTCAACGCTTAACTCAATTAGGTATGCTGGAAAATTGGTTGGTTTTTTGTGAAATGTTAGTTAGCGTATTATCAGCCTGCACTCAAACTGGATTTATAACTTACTCGGTTCTGGAGAAAAGATCAACTCAGATTCACCACCTAGAGCAACGACCTGGCAGACAAGGATTAGAGTTGATGAGAGGTTGTAACCTTGCTCTTTGGGCGTTAAAGACTTTTGCTATTAGAAGAAATTCAGCTCATAGTGTTCAAATAAGATTCTTTTCATTTTCGGCTTGGTCGATATTATCGCACATTTTTATGCCGCTTTCAATCCTTTTTCGCTTTCATTCAGTTGTTTGTTTATCCGATATCGTATCTCATTCTTACACGGAAAAGTACGTAAACGCTTAGCGTTTTTTCACAAAAATTTTATTCTATTAAGCCTGCTGCTCTACGAAAATCACTCTCAACTCTGTATATTTCTGTAAAAACAGACAGTTTAAATAAGTCAACAAAACACAACCAAATGACAAACACAAACAACAAAAATAAATATCTAATATAATTATCAATAGATGTTGAAGATAAATGCCAGTTTTTTTTAATTTCTTTGATTAAACACTAATTTTCTCTTTTCAGATTAAATATGTAAAAGAATATCTATATATATTTCATTCACTTTCTTTTTCAATACAAAATATAAAGAAACAATAATACGTTCTCCAGTAGCCGATTTCAATTTTCTTTGACTCTCTCTTATAAAAGTTCCTTCGTGGTCTCCAATAAAAAACCAACCCATAAATCTACTAATCATTAAACTGACTAAATGGCAAACTACCCTTAATACTTATTTCTATTTAATAAAGTCTGACCGATTTGACGAAAAAGTCAATTTTATTGATTCTGTTTTTTTTTTTTAAAAAAAAAGAATGAAAGATAAAAGCAAGTTTTGTGATTGAAGAGAACACGAAAAAGGATAAATTTTAAGTTTTCCTTGATTTTATATTTGAAAGTAGTCTCGGAGAAGGAAAAATGTTCACTTTTTTTCCCAAATCGCCCGACATTGAAACAACCGCGTGATGATTTAGAGCAGGCAAACTATGTCTTTGAACTTTCATTGACTTTTCAATATCATTGAGATTGGACGAAGGTAGACTACTGAGTCTTGAAGAATAATTGAATTTGTCTTTCAGTTCTTCCGTTTCATTTAAATTAGAGGTGGTATTAGAATTAGAGGTCATCCCGACGCTATGATTGAGAATTTCCCGATGATAGTCCTGTAGTTTTAGTTTCCTTTGTCTTTCGGCCGCTTTCACGAGCCTTTCAGCTTTAATTTGTTTTTGTACGCTATTAATCATTTTCCTAGGAATTTATTAGAAATCATTACTCTCTTTGTCTTTGATTATTTGATTAGATAGAAGTTAGTCAAGAAGAAAAGCAAAAGTCAGTTAAAGGTGTATGGAAATTAGGAAGAGAAAGAGCGAGAGAAGAAAGGATTTGATTGGAAACAGATTATTTTGCTGTTTATAGAGACTCACTTGTAATTTACACTTGTCGAATCTGCTTCTTCCGCAGTCGTAATTTGAATATGCTTCATTAATTCAGCAATTTCATGCTTGTACAATTTGATGCCACATTTCTGAGTTAGGAATGGAGCGAGAGAGAGAAGAAAAAGAAAAAGACACGGACAGATAGACAACGAAGTAGAAAGAGAAGACAAACCAAGATAGACAGACGAGTAGATATACATACATACGTTGAAAGGGTTAGAGGGAAAAGATGTCATAGATAGAAAAAAAGAAGAAAAAAAGACATATAATATATATATATATAAATGATTAAAACGTACTGAAAGGGATATTAAAAATAGATACAAACTTCGAGTCTTTCCATAAAATTTTCAAAAGAGAGTAACTTTGTAACCTTTTTATCGAAAGATCTAAAGAGTTCGGTTGGCCTCAACTGCTTCACTTTCATGTAATCGATCACTCTCTGCATGGGTTCTACTTTCCTCCCTGCAAACATAATGCACTCTGACCTAACGAGCTCAATTTCACTTTGACTCGATTAATTACTACCACCAAAATACACACAGAATACAATACCCTACATCACAAGATATTTACCCTGCCTTTGACCCAAAATATCGTGCGAGGGAACAACTCCTCCGTGTTTACACTCAAAATGGCGCTCTTTTTTTATCATCATAACTATTATCTCAAATTCGCCTGTAACCGACGTATCCTGAAAAATAGTAATGTATTTACGGTAAATTAATATGAGAAAACGTAAAGAAGTATTGATGAAAATTTGTTAAATGAATAAAACTAATAGCAAGAACCGTTAATCGACTCGTCATCACCTGTAGTCGATTATCGTTAAGAGGGTAATAAAGGCTAAACTAACACCGAGATCGAGTTTCCTCAACTTCGATCGTCCAACAGCGTCGATAACATCAAGACATCCGGTTGTCGTTAGGGGATTTTTAGCAAGGCCTAAATATTTTAAATTAGTATTTTGTTTAAGACCTTGACTTATAAAAATGGCTCCTTCCCAATTTATTCGATTATCATTCAAATGTAACTCCTCTAGATTGGAATTCTTTTTTAAGAATTCCCTTATCGCCAGGGAACCTTCATATCCAAGACCATTCCAAGAGACATCTATTCTTTTCAATGTTTTATTTAAATGTAAAAATTTAAATAGAACAACTGCACCCTTCCCCAATAATCTATTCCAACTAAGATCCAACTCTGTTAAACATCGATTCTCATCTGTTTCCCATAGAGATTGTATGGTGCGGATAAAAAAACGAAATATAACTTAACGAAATAGATGGGATAAAAAAAAAACAAACTTAGGCCTAGCGACAAGTGATAAGCTCCCACTTCGTCAATAAAATTCCTACTCAGGTTTAGAACACAAAGTGTTGAATTCATCTACAGGATAATTATGTAAAAAATTTTTAAATCCACTCTAATTGAACAACATTGATATGAAAAAAGAAAAGAAGAGCGGGAAAGGAAGAAGAGAAAAGCAAAGAGAGAAATTAGTAGAAAAAAGAATAATCCAGATTTCACTTCTGTTAGTTTCTAAATAAATTTAAAACTACCTTTAGACCCTGACAGAGATGGGCGACAGCCGAGGCGTCAAAGTTATTAGCTGTTTGGTAATACATTTGTGCTAGAATAATGTTTGATAGGCTCTATGTATAATTTACACGACAAGTTCAATTCCTTCAAGCTTTCATTCACCATTAAGAGTTCGGCGACAAACGCCGAACCTTCTTTTCCTATAGAATTACCACCAATATTCTGTGGGAGGAAAAATGTTTTAATTTTTCATAAAATATGGCTTCCAACTTTGAGTTACTTAGCGGATAAGGAGATTTCTTTAGGTTTATAAATAAAAAGGAAGGCGCGGAGTGAAAATAAATACGTACTAGAAGTTGAAGAGAGAGATTTTGCTTTAGAATGGAACATAGTTTAGCTATTCCTTTAGCAGTAGCGTTGTTGTCCTCCAAATTAAAATTAACGATGCTTGAGTTGTTCTTGTTTTCGACGAAATGAAAAAAAAAAAGCAAGACATATTCGATAAAGAGATAAAATCAATTGAAAACTAAGTCTACATGTAAAGCCTCTGCTATAGCAATCACTTGCAAGCATCCCAAATGCCGACTTTTCAAGTTGAGACAATTCTTGTTTAAACCTTCCATCACTCTCATTTGGGGAGTAATTGAAAGTTTACTGCAAATTTTCTCGTATCCTGTGGATTGAATAGTCATTTTGAACAGAAAAAAATGTATATATTATCAAAATAGTTATAACTAAATAGAGAAGAGACTATTTTACTTTCTCCTTCGTTCATTGTTAGAAGCTGAGTTTAAATGTCTGAATAAATTAAAAGTGAAAAGGGGATTGCAAGCGAAAATCGTAAATGAAAAATTCATTTGTTGAATAGCATCATCATTTCATTTATTCATTGTCACCTTTAAAATTGCACGCAGCCCAGCCAGTCAGGCAGTTAGTTACTTTAGCAGGCAACCAAATAACAGCCTACGTAAAGTATCATTTAAAGTAAAAGGCCTATTGCAGATTTTAACGCCAGGCCTCGTTACAAAGGATGACGAACATGCTTGTCAAATCGAGGAAAATCGTTTTTCTCTCAGTCAGAGCAGGCGTAGCTGAACGAAAATTATTACGACTGTTTTTTTATAGGGACGTCGTAATTCTTTTAGGGACATTCCAATAGTCGAATATGGTAAGAATGGTGAAGAATGAGACCGATTATCGAATAGCGTCGTTTCTACGCTAGTTGAATTTAACCAGATGGATAAGAGGAAGGAAAATGAAGGATACAAAATGAAAAAACTAAAATTTCATTTCAGAAGACAAGAGAACAGATGAAAAGACTGAAACAGGGAGAGAGAGAGAGAGAGAAAGTTAAGAATGACAGAAGAGATAGAGTAGAAGCATAAAAATAGATAAATATCAAATATTCATTATTATTAGAATGCAAAATAATTTCTCTTTATTTGTTTTGGTTTTCAGAAAGAAGGAAAACTAAAAATTGAAAAAAAAATAGGAAAAATGCGAAAAATTCTTGTCAAGACAAAAAATAAATAAAAAAGAAAAGAAATATAATTGAAAACTAGACATAAGTTCCCTCCATCTTTTCAACTTCGTTTAATAACAACATTCTTTCGTCTATTTGGCAAAGGGCGTCGTTTTTAGTCGTTTCATCAGCGTTCTCATTTTCTATTGTGACGGCGTCATCCTCACTTACGAATATGGGCGGAATATTTTCCGTTTCGGATTTGCATGAGCGATTGTCGTCCTCACTCTGTAATTTTGTTGACAATCAATCAATTAAAACAAATCAGCCTTTTTTTTCTCCAAAACTTTTTATTTTTTTTCAACCGGAAGTTCAATTAATTATTGAAATAACTTGACTTTAAGAATGCAGGAAAACAATGATTAGCATGCATCGGTTGTGTTTTTTCTTTTGTAATTAGTATTATTGTTATGTAATATATTAAATAATAACAATAAAGTAGTAAAAGAAAGGATTGGTTGTTTTTTCTTGTTTTTTAAAGTAAATGTTCATCTAGAGGACAAAAGTAAGAACAAAAGATAATACTAAGGCAGATAATAATAAATACAATATATCATACACAGGTGTTGAAAAGAAGATAAACTGTATACACTTGTATACGCATAATTATACAATACATTCATATACAGTTTATTCCAATATCTATATATTAATATATGCAAATATATAGATATATGAATATTTAAATATAATACATTCATGCATCTTGTATTTGTAATACATATATACAGTATATATTAGTATATGCTAATACTGTATACTGCATATTCTATAAGTTTTATATGGAGAATGCAACAAATCAAATATACTTCTAAAGAAAAAGAAAAAAAAACAGAATATTAACTGAATTTGTTACTTCTTTTGTATACGTTGTACGCAAAAGACTTGCAGACAATTAATTAATTACAGTGATAAGGAAGGAGGAGGTCTTAATTACTAATTAACTGTAACGGTGTTTGCTCTTAATATTATATGGTAATATAATAAATTAATAAACATTTTTTTAACGTCGTATTAAGGTAATGTTGCATTTTATACACATTAGCTTGTCGTCTGTTTGTTTGTTTCAAGGTTAAGGTTAAGATTAAGTGCTTTGAATAAAATTGTTTTCTTGATGAAAGCCTTTTCTTATATCTTATATAATGCATATGTTTTACTCCTCTCTTTTTTTGTTATAGTTTGTATGCCTATATAAATCTAATATGTTTTATATTCTCTAATCATTTTTTTACTAACTGACCACATTCGACTCGCCGGCATCGGCTATAAACTGTACCGTTGTAGGTCGGGCTTGAGGTGAAGACTGTGCGGAAACTGTTAATTGCTGCATTTCCGCGTTAGAGGGCGCATCTTCTGGCTTTACACTCCCACTCCTAGATGGCGCCAGACTTTGCTTAGGAGAATTATTCGATTGTCTACTAGAGGGCTTTATAGATAAATTCATTAATGAATTATTCATTAGCACTTAATTAAGTCCTTCCTCACCCTTTTCATTTCGTTTTGCCTGAGAGTCACGCTACAACTGCGAAAGGGAGCTCGCCTTGTTTCGTCGAGTCTTTCCCGGTGTTTCTTGACAAAACTTCTGCAAGATTAAAAATACGATTAGTACGGAAGAGAGGAAAGGAAAACATTTACGAAAAAAAAAAGAGTAGCTTTTTAATGTTTCTATTAATGAAAATATTTTTCTGCGGAGATAGTCAATAAAGTAGAAATAACAAGAATTAAATCTCGTTTTCTCTACTTGCCAGTCTTTCTACATTTTATTTCGTTTATTCGCCCCCCACCCCTCTCCTCTATAGTCTCCTTCGTCCTTTCCCCCCCTCTCTCTATCCATTAAATACTCTTAAATTTTTGTCAATTTTCATCATTGAACGCGTTCGAAATTTTTGAACAGTTGTCAATAAAAAGGCAATTAGTCACAGCTTATAATTTGCTATAATAAGTTAATTGATCAAGGGCTCATAGATGAGTTGAAAAAAACGCTAAAAGGTTTTTATGCCTTTTTTCATTCTCCTCTATTTTTTCCTTCGTACTCTCTTTTACTATTAATTTCTTCTTTATGAAATTCAAACACAACTGTAAATCTACTACATCTCCCTTTACTCTCAAAACAAAAAATATTTTCAATCGTTCATCAAAAATGCTATTCAAGTTTAGCTTGAACATTTCAAAACGTAATCTCGTTAATTTTATTAGCCAAAGAGTGAAAACTAAATGAAAAAAATAGAGACAGAGAGCGGGAGATAGAAAAAGTAAATATGCAAACAATATCTGGGAGAGAGAGGAATATTTCAAGGTGTTGAATACATAAGCAAATAGACTTCGTGTTGGCGAATAAGTGTAAGGGTATAGGCATTTGCGGTGAGGGTATGATAGGAGGAGGGGGATGAGGGGAGGGGGGCGTGTCTGAGGGAGTGGAAAGAATAATACGGAAAGGGGGGAAGGGGGAACATGGATGAATAGAAATGCGAAGGGAAATATTAAGTTTACAGAACAGATAAAAAGAAAGAAAAGGGATAACTAACCTGATTCTCAATGCGAAAGCAGCAATAGAAAATCCTCCCAAGACTATCGAACAACTAACAATAACGGTGATCTGAGTTCGGTTTAGACTAGCGCCTGTGTATAAATATGGCGGATTTATTAATTAAACCAATTTTCGTCGCCGTGGTCGGAAGTCCGTAGAAAATGTCAAGAACTGGTGGTGATTAGGCTTAGTTTTTTCCCAATGCGCAATTATACTAAAAGCTTTCTAACCCAAAGCTTTCCATGTATTTCTCAAAGTGGTGTTTAGTAGATTAAACCAGATAACTAGAGAAAATAATTTCTGTTAATTGCGCATGATTTATTGATTAATTCCATCAACAACAATTTAACATATTTTTTCTTTTTTTTTCTTTTTCTCTTTTGTTTTATGACCGCTTTTTTCTTCTTTCTATCTGTTTTTTTTCTCTCTCTTGTTTTTATAATCTTTATGGGGAAAATTCTTTCGGAAATACTCTACACCGTTCGTTTTATTTGTACTCTATGTGCTGTATTCTTAATACTTGTATGCTAAATATTAATGACGATTTATATTAATGTCATTATTTTCTACTTAGGCTTTTTTCTTTAGGCTAACAATAGTAGGCATTTTCATACACCTTAACATTTATCAAGATAATATCATTATTTTTGTCTTTTTTAACTACAATCTAAATATTCATATACGAATATACATTTAATCTTTATATACAGTATCCCATACCAAGATGTCTACAGTATTCCTTCTCGTCCATATATAGTACATTATAGTATATATTTTACTATATAATATATACAGTAAAGTACTGTATACTATAATACATACGTTTAGATAACATATGCATTTACGTTAATATACTCTTCCATAATGCATATATATATATATATATATATATATATGAAAAAAACATCATTTTCTCTCACAGTATTCTTTACGTACAAAATACTGCATATAAAGATAAATATATATGAATATTTTTGGGCAACTAAGCGCTTTTATCATTTTAATCATCTCTTTCGCCGTCGATTTGAATGGTGCTAAGCCGAACGTAGAGTAGATAGAGATGAAAAAGAAGCAGAAAGTCGCACAGCAAATTGATGCTTGTCATAATCGGATGTGAAAGGTGCCAGAGATGAAGTATCGATGAAGGTTGCGATGAGGGAGAATAGAGCACAAGACATATAAACAAATAAATAGATAGATAGATAGATATACAGAAAGTGAGAGTGTAAGAGAGAGAGAGAGAGAGCGAGAGAGAGAGAGACACACACACACACGAATGAGAGAGAGAGAGTGAGAGAAGAGGAGACGAGTGAGTTTTCCATAAATGGTACTGTTAGGAAGCAGCAGGAGAGATGGTGCAGCTATTATGACGACGGTAGAAGATGACAGAGTTGAAGAATTTCTACCCTATTTTATTCTTTGGATTTTGAGGCAAAATTTTAGTAAGAGAAAACGATGATTAAGATGATAAGCGCGATTGAAAGTGATTGAGTTAGCGTTACAGTTACATTTACAGTAATAATAATACATTAAAGATTAAAGTAACAGTAAATAGCTGAAATGGTAAACTTGATCTGAAGGAATGTAATTGAAAATCTTTCATCAATTTTTATAGGGGAAAAGTTAGAAAATGGATAGAGATAGGAAAAGAAAGAAAAATTCTGATATCCAAGAAGGAAAAGAGTTCAAAAGAAGAAAAAGGATAGGAAAAACAGAAAGAAAATGATGAATAGCAGAAATAATTCTATAAATAATCACAATAGTAATAAGACCAATAATTAAAAAAATAATAAAAGTAGAAAACTAATAAGATAAAACAAAACTACTTAGGAGAAGAGAAAAACGGAAAAAGGTGAGGGTAAGGAAAAGGGGTTTGGATACGAAAGTAACGAAAAGGAAGAAAAAAAGAGAGCTAAGAAAAAGAGTTGCATGTAATTAGATGTCAGGTTTCTCTTTGTTTTCCAAACGAATTTGATAATATATTAATTGCTTGCGTAAAGAAAGAGCGAGCCAGTTTCGTCTAGTTAGACGAGTATACAATTACTTGATAGATTCTACTACAGCTATTAGTTGAGATAGTAATAGTATTTCGAAAATAGTACATGACTTACAGAATGGGTGGAATTTAAGATGATATGTCTCCTACGTGATTTATTCAATAAACGCCTATCAATCAATATGGAATCGCTGATGCTAAAAGCGTTTTTAAATACGCAGCCTAAAATAACGGGAATAGATGATGTTGAAAAGAAAAGGAACTGTTGGATAAGAAGAATATCAGGAAACTATTTACGGATTATTCGGAAAAGTATCACTTTTACAAAAAGAGACTAGAGAGAGTGTTCCTTTTCTGTTTTTCTATTTTATTTGTTCGTTCGTTTATTTTCATTTCTTAGTTCCTTAATCATTTTAGAAGTGAAGAAGAAGAAGGATGAAGAAAAATTGTCAATGAACAAAATGAGTGTAGTTTTATTAAACGCACATCTAATTATCTGTTATTATTTATAGAGTACTCACATCTATTTCTACTAATATTTATTAAGTACTCAAGAAAGGTCGAACTTGCTGCATATATCCATTATTTCTAAATTGATTACTCTTGAGCTTAGATATTGCTATAAGATTTGCAAGTAAATCTTTCTCTTCCTCTTTTGTTTTCTTTTTTATAGAATGACAAAAAAACACCTTCCAGTCTTAGTAATTTTCCTTTGTTTTTATATTATTAACGGGAGGCGAAATGGACCGATTGTAAGGGAATTTGTTCTTTTATTTTCATAAATATAAACAATTGTACTAACCTTGACTTTCGTCTTTACTCTTTCTCTCTAAAGTCATATTTCCATCGAGAAACTTTGATTGGTTATCTTGTTTAGGGCACATATTCTCCAAATTATTTTCTACTTCTTCAAATTCCCTCCTACCTTCGTGTTGGATGAAAAGCATGCTTACCATTATCTGAACGTCTCCGTTAGTTTGATTTCTAGACGTCGTTTTGACTGACGGATGTTTGCCTATAGTATAGCAACGATCATCTGCCAAAACCTGTAATTCCTCCATTATTTCGACAATTTGTTTAACCAGTTGTAAATTTCTTTCCTTCTTCAAATCAATTGTATATTCTCTCAATTCAACCTGATAATCATGGACGAATGAAATTTTTTACGCTTCTAATCACTTTTGTTTACTTTGCCTAGTCTATTTCTTTTTTGTTAGTTTTCTGTTTTATTACTCTCTATCCATCTATCTATATATATCTATCTATCATTCTGTTCCCTCCTTCTCTTTCTCCTCTCTCCTCCCCTCCTCGTCATTTACATTTGACATAATCTGTTTTATACGAAAGAAATAATAGTATGTAAAAAATTTAGCTTTAATCTACCACCTTCTACACCCCCTTCCACTATGTCCTTGGAGCTTTGAATAATTGATTGTCTAAAGTACAGTAGATTGTCGACTTTTTTTGTTTGCATTAGAAGTATAAAAATGGAAAAGAGACGAATAAAGAAATTGAATTTTAAATTTAAATAGGAGCGTCTAATAAACGAAATATACGAAAATATGAATATATAAATAGTAAATATTGAATATCCAGGATATACTAATATATATATATATATATATATATATATTTATATATATATTGTATCATCAATGTTCTATATTTATTTATTTATATATTTATGTGTTTGTATGAGATATGTGATGGGAAAAATAAGCCCTTGTAGTCGGTTTGACGATAATGCGAAGAATATTGATAGAAGCATCGAAATAATCTAAAGATATGATTCCATTTCGATAAAAGAGGATTGGAGAATTAAATTAAAAATAAAATCATTCGTCCATGAACTTGACCTCTCTTTCGCTGTTTTTATCGGCCGGACGAGAAAGAGCAAAATTTAATAAAACGACAGAGAAGAAGAAGTGAGCAATTAGCATGACCTCTTTTTTTCCTTCTCTTCTTTTATCTTCTAGTTTTTTCTTCTTAGTTCTTCTCTATTTATTTTTACTTGCCGTAAAAAATCGAAGCAAGTCAAACAAACCAGTTAGGAAGAACGCGAGTCGCGCATTGATGGAATCCCAGAAAACAGTAAGTCGGGTGGTGGCCTGTAAATTGTAGACAATATGCAAATCAGTTGTTTGTAGGCGTCACATTTTTCTACTATTGGTTTCGTTTGGATTATACATCTGTTTCTTCGCTCAATTTCACGGTCACCATTATCGAATCTATCACCGCTCCATACCCCTTTATTGATTTTGATAGGCCTAGTGAAGTATAGTACTCAAGGGGTGCATGAATTTCTCTCTAATCTTTTCTTTTTCTCTTTTTCTCTGTCTAGTCTACACTATGGTACGGATACTGAGCCGCCCCAAAAGAATTCTCAACCCCTCCTTCCAGCGCTCTTTCGTCATGCATGTTCCCTCGATATTATTCTCTTTCCTACTCTCTGCTTGTCCCTGCCGTCTCTTTCGTTTCATTTCTAGAGTCTTTTAACCTAACGCCTTCCCTCCTTTTATTTTTCCCCAGCTAGTTTAACACTATCTTTTTCGCCCTCTCCCAACACAACTCCCTCCATCGCTAAACGCTCTTTTATGTCTTTTCTTTTTATGTTTATCTATCGTTTCGCTTTTTTCCTTCTCTTTAAAGATTCTCTCACCCGAAAAGAATTTCTTGATTTGACGCTTCCCAACAAACGTACAACCGCCGCGTTTTTATAATTCAGCTCTGGGAAAAACGTGCCTAAGTCAACGTTGTAACCGATAGCGAATCGAGGGAATGAATTAATGACCGAATTAGTGCACTCGAAGCGGCCGTATAGACGGCTTTTTTTTATGCGAGGAGACGCCTATTTCTCAGTTGGTGATAAACAAAATTCCTTTCGTTAGGCAAAAGGAATATTCATAGTAGAATAAGAAAATTGTACGTCTTACTCACGCTAGATAAAGAGCTTCATTTGACGATCAAGGATATTTGTTCTTGTTTTATATTCCAGTTCGTATTTTCATTAAAGATGCTTAATATTCAAGATAACAAAAAACAAAACACAGCAGAAGAGAGAGAGAGAGAGGAAAATTACTCGCAGAATAAAAGCCTTACAACGAGGACTATGGTTAATCCTGAGCTTTGTTTTTTCTTTTCTATTCCTATTTATTCGTTGTAGATAAGGAACTGGCAACAGTAGTAGTGACGATACGGCGACAATGATGATGGTGATGAGGTATCTGAGAGAAAAACGCAAGGTGTAGTTGATAAGAAGATGGAGAAGTAAGTAAATAAGTCAGGCAGTCAGGCAGCCAAGCAATCAACAACAGCGATACTATAAATGTGGTTGTTGACGATTTGTAAGCTGAAATCGCTATCGGAATAAAACAAGGCAGACTAGATTTGCCGTAGGAGTGGAATTAGCGACTGTCGTTGATTTATGAATAATAATATAGATGAAACAGGCGAATAGGCGAATGAAGAAAGTAAAGAGGAAGAAAAGGGAACTTTTCCTCTTTCTCTCCCTTTTATTATGTCCACTTCTCAGTAAACCAGGCAATGTGTCTGCCCGTCCGTCCGTCCGTCGTCCGGCTTATTTGTTCTTTCGGCCAACTACCCTTGGAACGAGGGGTAAAATGAAAACTGACTTGGCACAGCAGCGAAAGCAGCGACATCAGGCGGTGTAAGGACGCTTTGAAGAGGCCTATTATATAGAACTTTTCCTCAAGAAAAATATCCCTACTTAACGAGAGTGTATATAGAGAGAGGAAATTGAAGGAAAAAGAGCAGAAGTACACAGTTTATACTTTATTCACAAACGAGGACAATTAAACAGTAATCAATAGATAGATGGACGAATAGATGGGATAGCGAGAGAGCGAGAGAGAGACATACTCGTCTGAATTAGCCGGACAAGAGAGAAAGAATAATTAATGAAGAGAGTAAGAGAAAAATAAAAACTATAAATTAGCAACGTGTAAAACAAACAGAAGAGAATATTGAGACGCGGGTATTGACTGTTTTGAGATGTTGAATGGCATATAGAGTAATAGAAGGCATGTAGCATCTGCGTGTATTTAAAGATAACATCGGATAAGACTGGACTTACAAGAAACACGTGCCAGTATTCTTTATAAATAGTATAAATAGAATAAATTAAATAAAAGAGGTAAGAAGAGAAAAAAAATCAAAGAATAAAGGAATGAAAAGAATAAAAGAATGTTTTAAATGTTTATTGAGGCTGGCAATCTAAACAAGAATCTATTTACAAATAGGAATATTATGAAATCTCTCCAGTCATGCAGACTGCTAAGCAGGCAGACAAGCAAGAAAGCTAAAAAATAAGGAAGTGAGCAAATTGTAGAACAGACGGAAAACTAGAAAACACCGGCAATTTTAAGGATAAGGGGGAGGGAAACGGAGGAAACTAGCGAAAGGTCTGACTGTATTCGATTAGTTCTAGCCCCTTATTCATTTCAACTTATCGTAATCACCGTCTTTGATTCAACGTAATTTTAATGTGTCTCCCCAAGACAAAATGGCTGCTAGTCACGAGAAATGATTTCCACTTGACTCATTTATATTCGACGAAAATCAATAGAAAGACGACCAACAGAAAGAAAAAACTCAATCTCTCCCAAGCTAACACTGAATTTTCTCATATATTTCTTTTTTAACGCTAACATTCGATAAAAGGCGAAAAAAGACTATAATTAGGCGGGAAATTCTCTAAAGAATTGCGCACCCCCTAATCAACTGTCTCTAACGTATATATAAGCCGCTATATATACTTTTTCCCTTAATAAATGTGGAGAAAAACCGCAAATCTGTAAATCTGTAAAAGGGGAGGGGTGGTTTGTGGGAGGGGGAGGTTATAGGAAGTAAACTGGGTAGCAAGGAAACAAATGAACATTTTTATGTGCGGTATGCGAAAGTTAGTCGATTAAATCTATGCAATGTATACATAGCATATAGATAGAGAGATGGATAGATAGATGGATATATATACAGTATATATGTAAAGAGAGAGAGAGAGAGAGAGAGAGAGAGAGACTGTGTATATGGAATTATATGTACGGCAGATAAATATATGTACAGTATATATGAAGCGAACGAACTAGCTCACAGACGTATAAATAAAGACAAATATAATGTGGTGTGTTTTTTTAATGTTTTTATTGTAAATATATAGAGAGTAATGTGGAAATTGTACATGAGTATATAAACTCTTTTTATAAACTCCTTTATTCTTCTATTTATTAATTTACTACTGTTGATTTTATACATTTATTATTCATAAAAAATATCTCCTTACTGTTTCTTAGCTTATAACGTACTTTAGTCTCTCTCTCTCTCTCTCTCTCTCTCTTGGTACTTTCTTTTCACTTCAATATGTCGCTGTCCTAAGGATAGACATTCAAGAGAGAAATGTATGATATGCCATTTCCTCTCTTCACCGTACAGGTGGTAAACCTGTATAGAATTTGGCAGAGTGCCTAACCGCCTGTTTACGCTTTGAGGTCAAAATAAATCTAAAAGAGAAAAGGAAGCTTTTCTGTTTAATATCTAAAAAGTTCTATCTCTATCCCATCTATATCTTTACTTGTACCCCATCTTCTTCTCTTTTCCCCCTCGTTTCCCCTATCAGTCATATGCTCTCCCTTAATATTGTCGTTTAACATTTCCTTCGTTTTCTACTTTCCCTCTCTCTTTTTGTTTCCCCTTTACCACTTCTTTTACTCAATCCATCTCCAATATTCCCCCTAACCGGCCTCTTCTTAAAAAATAAATCAGACACATTTTTTACAGTTAACAACCTGCAAAATAAGATTGTTGATGAAAATCTAATATCGGCTTGCAGCAGGCGGCCAAACTTGTCATGCTGCCGTAATTGAATAGGCTTTACTGTGTGAGACTCTGTAAATGTAAAATAATGACAGGTGCGCTTTATAGCCTTATTATTTGCCATCTGGCGGATATAACAAATATTAAAAATATTAATAATTTGATTTAAAAAAAAATTCTAAATATAGCTAATCTCTAAGTATAAGAATGCTGCAAAAATAACATATTGTTCA